GGAGAAACTGGAAAGTTGGAAAATTGGTAAATTGGGAAGTTGAAAAATTGGAAACTGGGACATTGAAAATTTGGAAAATTGAAAATGTGGGAAGTGGTGATTGGTAATTGGAAATATGGAAATTTAGGAATACTGAAAATTTGCAAATTGGAAACTTGAGAAAATTAAATACTTGTATATTGAGATCACGGAAAAGTAAAAAATTTGGGAACAGAAATCATGGGAAATTTGAAAATCTATAAATTTCAAATTAAAAGATCATAACTTCTAAAATTCTAAATATTAAAAAATTCCAAATATATAAAATTATGAATTTCCACAATAAATTTTCCCCAAAATCCTTCATTGCATCCGAATCACATTAAACTAATTAAGTCCAAGAAAGTCCAAAAACCTTCACCTTCAATAATAACATGACCTACTATACCCATTTAACATAACCATACGTTCTCCACATCACCACTATTTCATTCGTGATAATTTGCGTTGGTAAGGTCCGTAAGTTACACCGGACCGAGATTGCTCTTTCCTAACCGAACGGAAGCAGAATGTTTGTACGAAAGATCACCAGCAAATAATTTCGTTCGTTTTATCCTCTCGAGCCGTTTCGGCATGACTAATTGAAGGGAAATACGAAAACCGAACGGAAGTAAAAGGAGTAGTCCGATGAGCATAGCGGTTCATTCACGTTCTCTAGATCGTACACATTGGTCGATATTACGACGTTAATATGAATTAATCGCATTGCCAGTTCAGTAAACGTACTTGCCTACGTTCCAGTTTATGGGGAATAAATTATGAGGTCTGCGATCTTCTTAACGAGCGTTTCTTCCCGTCGTTCGTTTGTGTGTTCCTTAATCCGCCCTTTCACGATCGTACGAACCAAAAGCGTAATAATCTTTGGATGGAGCAAACGGTCTTATTACGTGCAAACTTTCCTACGAACGAGACGCTCGCGATTATTTAGGTTTTGAAAAACCGGAGAGAAACGGTAATACGCTTAAGGGCGGTTCAAAAGAATTATGGAAATAATTTTCACTCGGTTGCTCCTTTTTGCCGGCTTTCGAGCAGAGTTATAGTAATCGATGAACGGGAAATTGTGTTCAAAGAAAATTGTGGAAACTTAAATTACGAGGTAGAATACTTGATTCTTTGTTTGGGAACTTTCTGCGCGGTGTAAGTAGTATGAATCAGTGAATAGTCGGACATGATGTAAATATTTTTGAAGTTTTGATTGATGTTATGAAATGTTGCCTGATAAATATTTATGATATGCAGGTTTAAATAAATATAATTCTAAGGGTCTGATTTAGCTGATCAGGAAGATATTAAGTAGTATGTGACAGTATATAGCCAGACCTCAATCAGGCAAATATTTAAGAATCACCTTTAATTATAATAATCAATGAAAATATTTTATACTTAATTTGTAGACATACTGTACAGAAGTACTGTGTTAATAGAAGTGTTATTTGCAAGTAAAAACTTGATCAGTAGTATGAAACAGTACATAGTCAGACCAAGTGCAATAATTTAGAAAGAAACGCATTTTTAATCGTTGCAACGAACAACTGGATTATAAACAAATTTTAACTACTTCTTATAAAACTTGCTCAACATTTAATATGATATTTGGTATCTTATTTAATATAAGATTTGAAGCATAATTTTAATGTACAATCGAATAATATCGAAGCAAAAATAATTTCGATATGGAGTCAAATAATTTCAAATGTAATTTCAATATAAAATCAAATAATCTTGATATCAAGTCGAATAATTTTGTATAAAATATAATTTTAATATTGATTCGAATAATTTCGAATGAAGACTTTATATTCGACATCGAATAATTTCGATGTACAATCGAATAATTTCAAATCAAAAATATTTTCGATATAGAACGTAGTTTGCTACAAAATCTAAAATAAAATTCACATAAAAAATTTCAAATCCGTTTTCAAATTCCTCCCGAAGAGTCGAAACGCCGTCCAGAAGTGCGTAATCCCTTTCAGTTACAGAAAAACCGGATATCGATTAATTAGAAGGCATAACAGTACGTAATTCTCCTTTCCATTCCCCCCTGCGATTGGTCGTGAAAAAAAGGGTCGAAGAGGGAAAAAGGAACGCGCGATAGAAAAGGGGCATCGAATTGCGTGTCTCCTGTAGAAGGACGAACGAGCTGCGTCGCAACAAAGGATCCTTTTATCCCTGTATCCTGGTACACGCGTGTCCCTTTCTCCCTCTCTCTGTTTCAGTCTGTCCATGTCGGTGTTTATTCCGCCGAGAGAAGAAAAAAAATGAAACGAGCTCGCTGGAAACAGAGAGAACGTGTCCGCGTTAGCTCGCGTACAACCGAACGATTCGAATGAATGACTCGAATCCCGGTTCCCTTCGACGCGATCCGCGTTTTCAATTGAACACGAACGCATTATGCGACTACATATCACGCGACAACCAATGAAAGACGCGAATGAGTGATTATTTCGCGGGACTTCGTTCGACGGACGACCGTATCGAATGATTGAAGGGAATGCGTACTGTGTTCGGATCGTAATTTCAGAATTGCGATATAGCGTTTGTTTAGGTATGTTTGAAATGCTGTTTTATTGTTATTCTTTGTTTGTTGGATAGAATTGAGTTGATGGATGTGTGAGAACGGAATTCAAGTTAGGAAAATTGAAAGTATGAGCAAAGTTTGAGAGAGCTGTTTTGAGGCTCTTTAGATTTGGAGACATTTTCCAAATGTAATTTTGTAGCAAGGTTAACTTAAATTTTCAAATTTTTGAATGCTCAAACTTTCAAAGCCTCAAAGTCTCAAACTCCTAAATTCTCACAATTTGAAATTCTCAAAGTTTAAAATTATCAAATTTTCAAAGTTTCAAACTCTCAAGCTCTCAAAATTTCAAAATCTCAAACTCTCAAATTCTCAAATTCTCAAATTTTCAATCTCTCAAATTCTCAAACTCTCAAATTTTTAAATTTTCAGTGTCTCAAATTCTCAAATTTCTCAAATCCTCATAGTCTCTAACTCTCAAATTCCTCAAATCCTCAAAATCTCAAAATTCTCAAAATTCTCAAAATTCTCAAAATTCTCAAAATTCTCAAAATTCTCAAAATTCTCAAAATTCTCAAAATTCTCAAAATTTTCAAAACCCTCAAAATCTCAGAATTCTCAAAATTCTCAAAATCTCAAAACTTCAAAATTTCAAAGTCTCAAAACCTCAAAGCCTCAACGTCTCAAATTCTCAATTATTAAACTTGAAAAATATTAAAATTTTTATCTAACCAAACTACACCTCACTATAAACCCTCTTTAAAAAATTGATTTATCAAATAAATTTCGTTACCCCTTCTCAATGAACCTATCATCATTTTCTAATTATGTAATATTATTTATAACAGCAAAGAAATGAATCTCCTTATCAAAATTATAAAAAGCAGCACCACGAAAGATTAAACTGTTCCATTAAAGCTAGAATATTATTGAATAATTCGAAACATGATATATTTGCTGGTTGGGTTTTAAAAGAGAAAACATTCTGTTTGCCGACGCATGGATTCTGATTGGTTGGTTTTATATCGAGGAGCGAGATTGCAAGTTACGCGTGTGCAACGAGTTCCCGGAAAATTAAACTGCAAAAATAAAGTAAATAGCGATGTTTATTCCGGGCCGGAATTTATTGAAATATTGTTTAATGATAGCGCAACGTACGAGGGGGGCGGGGGGTAGAGGGTTTTGATGGATCGGCCAACCTTACCGGTATTAACCGTGCCGATGAAAATTAATATTTGCTCTTCGATAGATATTTTGATTCCGGGAGATTCGGTTACCTTTGTTAATATTTTGCGTACTGATATAAAACGAGGCTCGTATGGGAATTCGTCGAAGCAATTTATAAACTCGGTAAATTGCTGCTCATTAAATATTTAGCCGATTGTTTATTCTGAAAATTATGTAAATTCGTGTTTTAACCTTATCGAAAACATTTGATAATTTAATATCTTTCGTTTCATTGGGAAGAGTTGGAAAGTTTGTGTTCGTATTTATCGTCGGAAACTCGATTCGTATAATTTACGTATCAAAAGTTATGGCTGTCTCGTTAGAATTTTATTTTGTTACTTTGGAGAAGGCGTGATTGTTACAAATTAATGATATGATTATTATAAGGATTTATAATGAAATGATTATTATAGTGAAGTAATTATTATGAAGGATAATTGTTGAAGGCATCATTTTTAAATTAGTAAAATGATTATTGTAAAACATAATTGCTATGCAACACATGACGATGTAACATAGAGATACAACATACGGCGATGTAATTAGTGGCGATATAACAGGTAGTAATATGATACGGGGCGATATTAATACGTGACAATAAAACACATGATGATGTGACGCATAAAGATACAATACGTCGCAGTATAAATCGTGGCAATATAACACGTGGCGATATAGTACGAGGCAATATAACACGTGGTGATATATCACGTAACGATATAATACATGTCGACGTAACGCATAAAAATATAACACGTTGTAATATAATTCGTGGCAATATAACACGTGGCGATATAACGCGTGGCGATATAACGCGTGGCGATATAGCGAGTGGTAATATAACCTTTTGTGATATAATAGGTCGCAATAGTACATTAAAAATATGTCACATAAAGGTCTAACTTGCTGCAATATGAGACGTGGTCATACAATAGGTGGCGATATAACACGTGGCAATATATGACGTGGCGATATAACACGCAACGATACAAAACAACAATGTAACTCATAGAAATGCATCACGCAACAATACAAAGCGTCACAATATAACATATGACAGCACAGCACACGGCAATATAACGCGAGACCATATAACGCATCATTAAAATTATTACTCAAATCTTATAAATCGCTTAATAAAACTAAACAATTAAAATCTTAGTATTTGTTATATTAAGTTGTTATATTAATGACATTGTTCTCTGTTTAATTTTAGCAGCCGACACAAGCACAAATCAACAGCCCCGGACGAATATGACGGTTTTTACCACACAAGCCGACAATGCGTCGCAGATTTCCGGTAAAACGAGTTTCGCGGTGCCAGCACCGCCGCCATTGGCCTCCGCGGACAAGGTTCGCAGACTTTCGGACGGCGAACACTTCCGGCAGCCCAACGTCACCGTTTCCGGCCACGCGACCGTGCAGAAACAGCTACAAGAAGCGCAAACCCAGGCACAGGCGCAGGCGCTGGCCGACATTATTCTGAAGGCAAGTTTTTATCATTCTTATCCGTTTCCTGTATGTACATATTTTTACTCGTTCCTGTCTTAGAAGTGGCTTGTAATGTGCCAACTTTCAACGGACAGATCCATTCGTTTCGCGTGAGAAAAAATTGTACGTCTCTGTCGCATTGAAGTTTTGTTTAACGGAGAAGACTTCTTTTGGAAAAAGACAAATTTAGAAAAATTATTAAATAACTCGTGAATTGTTATATGTAATATAAGTTGTAGCAACAATTTTTAATATTAATTTTGATACATTTTATATTCTATAGTTGAAAAATACTGTAAAAGAGATGATACAATATTAACAATTGAAGATGCTATAATATTATAATAAGTAAGCAAATACAAAATCACTTGAGGCAATATTTGGTAACTGCATTATTGTAGTCAAGTACATGGAGTTCCAATAAAATGTGAACACACTATGATCACTGTATAACGCTTTCAAACACAAATGTGTAATATTACACATCTCAAATATTACATACCTCAAATAATTAGTACAAACCTGAACATAAAATAAATTACCCAACTCACAAAATCGAAGTCTTACAAAAATTGTTATTAAATTAATATAACATCGATGAAATGTTAAATTTAGGGGACTAAGATGGCTGTGAAAAGAACAACTTCCGATCCCGGCCAGAGACTGCACTTGACGTACCAGCCATCGGTTCAGTCGACGAATAATCAGCAACAACAACAGCAGCAGCAGCAGCAGCAGCAACAACAACAGCAGCAGCAGCAGCAACAGCAGCAACAACAACAGCAGCAAAATAATCAACCTCAAGCACAACCCGCAGTTACAGACAGTTTCTCTATGACTGGTTATTCTGAAGACGGTGGTTATTTCAGTCCAAGTCTGCAAGATGAAGTGTTCCAGCAAGTCACCGCTGTTCCTGACAGTGTTCTGCTTCATGCTACTCAGTTGGATTCTCTTCAGGTGAGACATCGTACTCGTTCGAGTATACACGTTGCATTAAACTTACTGGTCGACCTCATTAATTATGCTTGATGTCTTAATGATCACAGTTTCGAGTTTAGATTGTTTCGGTAATAGATTTTTAATGATATTTTTATAAATTTTTGGTTATAAAAGTAAGCTTGTAAATATGGGAATTTATGGATTAAGACGTTTAGAAATTTAGAAATTAAAAAATTTCGTAATTTAGAAACTTAAGGGTCTAATTATTTCAAAAATGAGAAATTCATTCAACAGTCAGGAATTTTGGTATTTTGGAATATAGGGATTTTTAGGTCTGTAGTTTTCGCCATTTAGGGATTTTTGAATGTAGGAATTTCGAGATCTAGAGATTTCCAAATTCGAGGATTTTGGGATCTGGGGATTTTGAGATCAACGGATTTCTGGATCTAGGGATTTCGGAATTTAGGGATTTCTGGATCTGGGAATTTTCGAAATTAAGGATTTTGAGATCTAGGGATTTCAGGATCTAGGTATTCTGTGATCTAGGGATTTCCGAATATAGAAATTCGCGAATCTAGGGATTTCCAAATATAGAAACTCGCGAATCTAGGAATTTTCAAGTATAGAAACTCGCGAATCTAGGAATTTTCAAGTATAGAAACTCCCCAGTCTAGGGATTTCGAGTTCTAGGAATTCCACGATCTAGGGATTTCCAAATGTAGAAATTTCCTGATCTAGGGATTTCCAAATATAGAAATTTGTGGACCTAGAAATTTCAGAACTTACAAATTTGAGGACCTAGGGATTTCAAAAATTAAAAATGTCAGGTTATAGAAATTTCGATATCCAGCGATTTCAAGATCTGGGTATCTATCGATCATAGAATCTGCTAATATGAAAATATTAAATTGTAAAAATTTGACTATTTAAAAATTAAAAAATTAAGAACTATAAATCGGAAATTTGCAACTACAGAATCCTGTAATTTTCCAGTTCCAAAAATCATCGACCAGTTCCTATTGAAACGAACCTTCATTACCAAAAAGAAAAGAGAGCCATTCTTCCAATTCATCTCATTTCTTGAATAGCTCGAAATTCGTAGCCCCATAAAGAGCGAAGTTAAGAGTAGGGTGTCTCGGCGAAAAAGGAAGGAAGGCATTCGCATTTTCGTCGTTCATGTTAAGACACAATATCTCGGAACCTTTGACGGTCTAATTAGTCCCGGCGTCTCATTATTCATTCCACGCGGAGCGCTGAAAACGCTTTAGTTTCAATTACGTCACGACCGTGGCCGCTTCTCCGGGCGTAGAATTTAATAAGGCGAATTATCTAAGTAGTTGGCACTGACTGCACCAACCAGCGATGCTTGCAATGCCGCTTTGTGCCGTTTGAAAAGCACCGGATACGCTTACTCTCTCCTCTTCCTATCCCCTGGATATCTTGCGTCTCTCGTTTTCGAACGTGTCTCGAACCCTCTCGTCCTCGAGCAGTCTCGTTAATGTCTGACCTACGGATACCAGAAATTCCATCCTAATGCCAGCATCCGTTGCCTTGCTCGTTCAACATTGCCCTTCCCTGAACTTTTCGTCCGAACATTCTGACCCTCGCGAAGTCGATTTTTGAACATCGGAAGTCAATATCGCAGCTATTTCATGCTACGTGCTTTGCTCGTTCCTGCAAATTTATTGTTTCATATTCCCAAAAGATAATAAAGATCACTTTCGGAAATTGGGATTTTTATATTGGATAGAAATGTGGCAATTTTGGAAGTTCGAAGGTTAGGAATCTGTACCAGGTCTGTGCAAATTGTTATGACTTAGCTCCTTGACCTATCAGTTTTCCAGCAGGTGCGTCAAGCAGAGTTGCTAATTGTTATTACAATGTTTAGAGGAACACAGGAAGTTAAAATGTTATGTATCTTTGGATTTACGGAGCTTTAATTATACAAACTATGATCAGTTAGCTTCACTCTTAATCGTGGCACAAATATAATTTAGGTCTGTCATATGTGAATCGTGATGTGCGCCATAAGTGACACCATAATAGGTTAAGTGATGCAAATAAATTTTAAGTGTCCGCACCTTTGCTCGCCTAAATGTCCCCATCTCAGCTAATTCTCAAAAATGAGACCTTGGAGTAATCTTGAAGTTTCAACCTTACCTAACCTAACCATATGAGTACACATATGTTCAGTTGAATATATAGCAATCAGCCCCCTACTCAGAGATCCATGGACGCTTAAGTACCCGATTTGTCCAACATTTGCTAATGTTCGAACATCAGATCGCGTCCAAGTTTCCAAGTGTATCCCCAAAAACGCCACAAGTGATCGCGAATTAACATCAATCAAACCGTTCAGTTTCAGACCGCGAGTCTGCTGCAAGAACAATCGACGGAGCAACTGCAGGACATTACTCTGGAGGATCGATACTCGTCGCAGCACACGGTGAACCCGGACCTGCAGGCGTTGGTCAACTCTCCATTACCCGATTCACTGGCCGAATTCAGTACTTATGGTGCCCAGTACACAGAAAGTCCACATACCTTGCCCGCACAATCCCCGTTGCCGTCACCATTGACCAGACACGACAGTCCCAGTTTCACATATCCAACACCTCCAGCGAGTCAAGAGGGTCTCCTGACGGGTAGTTTTCCTCTGTTGAGCCCGCAAGAGGACCCAGAAAGCGTCAGACAAGTGTCGTCGCCTTTATCCGCGGCTTTCTACACGACAACCATGTCATCCGCGGCGGCTGTCGAGGAAGCGCTCAGCGAAGTGTTGCCGGCCGAATCGGAAGCGGACGCGGATCTGTACGGTTCCGGTTCGCCTAATCCGCATTCGCCACTGCCAAGTCCTTTGTCCGCGACCCCAGCACCGTCGCCCTTGTCGTCGTTGCCGCCATCGTCGGTGTCCTCGCCAGGACCAGTGTCGTTCACGGGCACCAGCTTCCCGGTATCTCCCCACCACGCTCTGCAAAGCCAAATGATGCCTAATTCGGAGGATCCGTTACTCTCCTCGACCCCGAAGGACTTCACCACCGCCAGTCGAAGACGGTTCGAATTTCAGTCGTACAAGTTCATCGCCAGCCAGAACCTGGTGGACTTCGGTCTGGGCAACGGTAGTCTGGCGGGAATCGTGGTCGACAACAACGGCGAGTTCAAGCTGATACAAACTGCCGGGTTGCAGAAGACGAACGTGCTGGTTCAGACGGGCTCCCTGAGCCCGGCTCTCACCTTCAAGAAGGAGATGCGACTGACGACGCCGAAGGTGGAGCCTGTCACCGTAAACCTGGGTCTGAATGTGCACACCAACCATCAGTACAACGCTGGACAGTTCAACCAACAGCAACTAGTGAACCCGGCCAAGTTCCTCATCCAGACGAACCCGGCCAAGAACTGTAACTTCAGACAGAAGACACCCAGCGGTAGCAGTTTGCCGATCCCCGTGGAGCAGATCAAGGAAGAGCTACTCGACGAAGACGTGTTCCTTAATCCCAGCAACGTACCCGCTGGAAGCCCGGTCAGACAGTGCAGGAAAAGGCCGCGTATGGACGGGAACTTGTACGCCAATCATTCGTATCCATCGAGATTGAGGAAGGCCTGCGATCGCCATTGGGATAGCAGTTACACACCGCCGCCCATATTGGACCCTTCCCGTCCTGGACCTGGACTGTACGCCAGGTTGCATCAGTACGAGAGGGACTCCGACTTCAGCTCGGACGATTCTCAAGGGAACGATGGACCTCCGCCTAGGATCAACATCGGAACGAGGTATCAAGCTACTATACCGCCTGTGGGAAGTGACGGCGACAGAGGAAAGGGAGAGCCGGAAGCTGATCATCTGCTGTGGGATCCTGGTATAAATAACGTGCTGACGGATAATGAACGTAAGTGAGAGAATTAATTTAGAAGTTGGACTGTGAATGTATATGGTAAGATGACGATTAATACTGTTATCTATTGCCAACTTGTCAGACGTGCATAGTTAGGACACAGTTTGGGGTGAATGTTACTGATGCTGTAGTCTTCTACTACTATGCTTCTTTACATTCTCTTGATTATCTTGAAAATATAATATAAAAGAATATAAATAATATAAATCATGTAATATATTCAAAAGTTTAATTTAATGGAAAATATCACATATGTATTTGATTAGTGTGTATATTTCAAAATTTACACTTCATGTAAACGTCATTGAGTGACTATATAACGGATATTTATCAAGCGGTTAATGGAACGCTACGCTGTTACACAACCAATTATAAAGTTCATTGTACACGATCGAAAAACGCACCAGCTTCCCGGTATCTCCCCACCACGCTCTGCAAAGCCAAATGATGCCTAATTCGGAGGATCCGTTACTCTCCTCGACCCCGAAGGACTTCACCACCGCCAGTCGAAGACGGTTCGAATTTCAGTCGTACAAGTTCATCGCCAGCCAGAACCTGGTGGACTTCGGTCTGGGCAACGGTAGTCTGGCGGGAATCGTGGTCGACAACAACGGCGAGTTCAAGCTGATACAAACTGCCGGGTTGCAGAAGACGAACGTGCTGGTTCAGACGGGCTCCCTGAGCCCGGCTCTCACCTTCAAGAAGGAGATGCGACTGACGACGCCGAAGGTGGAGCCTGTCACCGTAAACCTGGGTCTGAATGTGCACACCAACCATCAGTACAACGCTGGACAGTTCAACCAACAGCAACTAGTGAACCCGGCCAAGTTCCTCATCCAGACGAACCCGGCCAAGAACTGTAACTTCAGACAGAAGACACCCAGCGGTAGCAGTTTGCCGATCCCCGTGGAGCAGATCAAGGAAGAGCTACTCGACGAAGACGTGTTCCTTAATCCCAGCAACGTACCCGCTGGAAGCCCGGTCAGACAGTGCAGGAAAAGGCCGCGTATGGACGGGAACTTGTACGCCAATCATTCGTATCCATCGAGATTGAGGAAGGCCTGCGATCGCCATTGGGATAGCAGTTACACACCGCCGCCCATATTGGACCCTTCCCGTCCTGGACCTGGACTGTACGCCAGGTTGCATCAGTACGAGAGGGACTCCGACTTCAGCTCGGACGATTCTCAAGGGAACGATGGACCTCCGCCTAGGATCAACATCGGAACGAGGTATCAAGCTACTATACCGCCTGTGGGAAGTGACGGCGACAGAGGAAAGGGAGAGCCGGAAGCTGATCATCTGCTGTGGGATCCTGGTATAAATAACGTGCTGACGGATAATGAACGTAAGTGAGAGAATTAATTTAGAAGTTGGACTGTGAATGTATATGGTAAGATGACGATTAATACTGTTATCTATTGCCAACTTGTCAGACGTGCATAGTTAGGACACAGTTTGGGGTGAATGTTACTGATGCTGTAGTCTTCTACTACTATGCTTCTTTACATTCTCTTGATTATCTTGAAAATATAATATAAAAGAATATAAATAATATAAATCATGTAATATATTCAAAAGTTTAATTTAATGGAAAATATCACATATGTATTTGATTAGTGTGTATATTTCAAAATTTACACTTCATGTAAACGTCATTGAGTGACTATATAACGGATATTTATCAAGCGGTTAATGGAACGCTACGCTGTTACACAACCAATTATAAAGTTCATTGTACACGATCGAAAAACAATTTGGCTGTTACCTCTCAAATGAAAAACGTACACAATGGTAGACTGTGTCGTTTCACTAAAAGTTCCTCGAACCAATTTCAACACACAAAATAGTTCACTTTAAAAGCAAAATACGGTTAAAAGAACCGATAGATGTTATCGGTGTACACAGTCCAGAGGTGGGCAAGGACATGCTCTCAAAAATGCATTTTGTTTCACGTCGTTACCTCAATTGATTGCCGCGATGGGAGGCTTTATATCGCGAGGCTCGAAACGCACGCACGGTAAACGCATCAATCGAAATACGCGGAAATGGCGTGACCCATTTTTCCGGGAATACGCACACCGTGAGTAATAGTAAATAGTAGCGGCAGTAGTAGTGAGATGGAAAATGGTAAAACAGTGTGTGGAGACGCACACGTGCACTCGAGGCAGGTCAGTGACGTTCACGAGCGGGAAAGCAAATAGCGAGACCCTCGAAACTATGGTTCGCTTTGAACGGCGATATCTCGGCAACCGGAAGTGGTATCGACGTAAAACAAACGCCATTATAAAGAGGAAAATCTCATTTCGAACTGTGCAATCAACAGCCGTCTACGAACAAATGGTCCAGTTATAGTGCATTATATTATATGAGCAATTTCAGTTTTGTCGTTATTTGGACTTAGCAGTGACAATTATTATTGTACAAAATTACCTAGTTTTATGTTTTATATAAAGCAGTGGTAATGATTCTGCGAAACGCGATTTTTCCTTTCCATCTGATCTCCAATTAAGCCGATTAATCGAGGTGTAATTGCGTTTTTCTCGATCGAACGAATAAGTAGATTATTTTTATATGAACACAAAGAGTAATAAAACAAAGACCAGTAATGGGTAAATTTTTAATATTACAATTCTCGGAAATTACATTGAATTTATGCTCTGGTATAAACCAGAGAAATCGAGGAATCTCCATTGATACAAGTTATTAAGTATACATGTGCTTTGTGAAATTAATTAAAAAAGCGGAAAGAAAATATCAGTCTCGAGTTAAATTCTGCTCAGTGTTTAATTATAAATTCTCTAGATTCCAAACTGGTTTTCAAAGAACTCTTGTATTTTACAGTGGAGATGTATCTGCAATTTGCATGCTGCGCTGCGGTGCCTGGTGGAGGAAGAAACAAAGAGTATGCTCTTCATCTGCTACACATGTGCAGGGGAAACATTCATGTACGGTTCTTCGCATTTCATTTCATTATTATCGCAGCTTTCATGACCTTTGAAAACGTGCAAATTAAAACCGCTTAAAAATTTCAAAACTACTTTTCATGTATTGTTTAATATACGTTCTCTTAAGTCTTTATTTTACATTTAAAAATTGATCACGATGGTAGAAATCTAGAGTGCAAATTAAAAGATTTTATCGTATGTTAGTGAATCGTGTAACCATTTAGTAACTTTACTAGCAAATTAATTAAACTAATCGATCTACGTTTTCAGGAAGCGATGCTGAAGCTGATGAGACCAACGCCATTATTGCCAGCTGAACATCCGTTGCTCAGTTACGAGTGTCACGAGTCCGACCGATGGACGTCGCAGGAAATGGACGCTTTCTATCAGGGCCTGCTGAAGTACAACAAAGACTTCTCCGCGATTTCGCGAGACGTGGCTGGCAAATCGGCGAAACAATGCGTGCAATTCTATTACCTGTGGAAGAGGCTCTGTCCGGACGAATACAAGAGGCTGCGTGTTCGTCATGGCAAACCAAAGATTAAGACAGAGAGCAAGGATTGCAAGGACACCAGAGAGCTTCGCGACGCCATCGCGTCTGTCACGGAGATGGACTTCAGCGAGGACAAATCGATTCTCCACCGCACCCTGGTGAGTTCACTTTCTAGTTAGGTCTTCGGACCTGTGCGAACTTCAGATTTATGGCGCCTCAGTTTACGAAGTAGGATGTATTTATTTAATTCACTTAACTTTGCTATCGTGAACCTAGAGGGTGGCAATCGTACTCGAAATAAAGACTTTGAATAAGACTTTGATAAAATACTCTATATTAACTATTAGATTTAGAAACGAAATGGACTGTATGAAGGTTGAGCTCTTTACCTACAAGCTGAGGTCGAGGAAAAAATTAAGCGGGGAAAACGTGCATAATGAGAAATTTTGGGACTTAGGAAGAAGGTAATTTATGGTTCAGAGGACCTTGAGACCCAGAAGCTGTTTCAGAGAGGAAAAACTTGGAAAAGGTCTTAGATGAACAGATGCCTAATTTCTAGAGGACAAAATATAGGGAACGCTAAGGTCTTTAAGAGTATCCGACATTAAATATAATTTTTCTTTAGGAGTTATCTTCGAGGCACAACTTTATTCTTTAATTACTTATATTACTATTACTATCTCGTTATGTTTTTTCATCATTTGTTTCTCGATCCACAATTAATTTTTCCGTCAGTTACAGACAAACGAAAGAGAAAATTCGGCTACCCTAACCACCAGCGATGGAGAGCTGAGATTATTTGCATACGATTGCCCAGATGTGAGTACAACCGTCCATAACACTTTCTGTATCCTGTTTATTACAAGCTTTATTTATACAAAAACGGTGAATTATTCGGATCGATGTACTGCGACTTTATTGATCTAAAAATAAAAAGTAACGAAGTTTGTTAGCTGCTGATCGTAACTCAATGTCGCTTCTTTTTTGACTAGGATTATACGTTAATATAATAACATTGATCGTTTTAATATATCTCCTTTTCTTTTTTTTTATTGGAGAAAGAAAGCATAGACCGATCGTTGAGTGTTATACATAGATAACTATCGAGATTACTACTGTCTCTGTATCCGAGCATATGTTCTACTTATCGGTTGGCATCAAGTACGAAACTTTTCAACAATCTGCGTTAATTGATATTTTATCGTTTTTAATAGTGTTTGTTATTAGGGTAAGTTGCTGATTCCAAATAAAATTTGATCAAATTCAGATATAAATTCAAGCTCAGATCGTTTAAATTTTGATTTGTTAAGTTGAAATAGGAATTTAAGTAGTTCACACGATTTATCAGTTTCACATGACGCAGGACCCTCAAACGATGGAATACTCAATTAAATAAACTTAATTTTTTAATACTATTCCATCTATAAACTTGTAATTATTTCTACAGACATATTTCTGAAAGTACATTATAATATTTTCATACCTCAAAATATTGTCATTAGAACAGTAATTAAGAATTAAAATGTTATGTCTGTGTAAGATATTTTCATTAAAGATTTGAGTATTTAAATCATATAGTTCAGAATTATGATTGACTCCATCGTTCGAGGTTTAAATATAGCCATCAGATTAATATTCTGATTTTTATTCCGATAACGTTAATTAATTCAGTTAAACAGTCGAATATGTAAACGCAGATGCAAAATCGATTCGTGCTCAATGCATACATACGTACAGCGCGTATTAAAACCACTTAACATGCGTACATACACTGTCGCTCAAAAATCTCAGGACATCTGTCATTTTTACCAAATTTTTTTCATTTTATGTACACTGTAAAGGTTTGAGTGACTTTTGTTACATAATATTGATACAATACATTTTTATGTTATCAATCTTCATATATTATATTTTTTATTGGTACATTGTCTTATTTGTATATTATTTTATTTATACATTATTAATGCTTATATATTATGTTGTTTATACTGTAATATTAATATTATTACTGACTAATAATATTAATAATAACATAAATAATGTTAGTACTAACTGATATTGATAGTATCATTAACAACATCATATTAACGATCTTAAGTTCCATTGAAAAATATTTAAAATAGATCTTGATATATCTAAAAATATTTATGAATTATTGATTAGTTTCATTCATATACTGACAATACGTCGATCACTTTATTTTTAACAAATACAATAAATGTTAACACCTCATTGCATAACTTCAAATTTTCAAGGAAGTAATTCTTCATCTAGAAGTAATAACATTAAGAAATTTATAAACAATTGTACATTATTATTAAGAGAAAAAAATTTATAAAGAGAACTGAAAAATTCAATAATTGTTTAGTAGCAAAAACTTGTTACCTAGTAGCAAAAGAAAATTCAATGAAAACAGAATACGTAGTTTTGATCTTACTAATACACACTATGCAACAAGGTTAATAAAATCAATCAATATTTTTACTAAAATTATTGCTGCTTGACATAAAATTATTGTACATAAACAAAAACAGACCAATTCAATGTTCGCCATTCAACCCAAAAATAAAATACCTAATTTATCAACGAAAATAATTAAAAATGACCGCATCATTTTCCATCAATCAGCGCATCATCGATCGCATGTCACCGCAACGAATCAAGCTACAACCTATTCATGTATCTACTATGTGTCCTAAGACTATCGAGCGATGGTGTACGTGTGAACGTTTAAGTGTCGCATGTGATTTGTTGTTGAACCTGTCGTTTCTATCTCACGCTTTCATTATCTCACAAGGAACTCACGCGTTTCATTTATTTTTCTATATTTTCTTGCGTGATCTGTTCACTTATCTGTCGTCGTCGCCGTCCACGTCGTCTACCATCGTCGTCCGTCGTCGTCGTCGTCGTCGTCGTTGTTGTTTGTTTGTGTTGTTTATTTTGGCTTTGTGTTTCTTTGTGTTGTCAGAGCTTTAGCGGAAGCGTAACAGTAACGATGGCCGGGAGCACCCAAACCGCCCAAACCGGCAATACCGGCCACGCCACAGTCAACACCAACTCACAAACTCACACTAGTTCTGAGCAACAACTACCCGTGCCCACCCCACTTCACTACCCCTGCAAGATTTGCGGGAAGTAAGTCTCCAATCTCTAATCTAAATTATCCGTTTCGAAAATTACGGCTGGATCAGCCTGTTAGAAACACGACTGAGAAATAAAGCGCGTTTTTACACGGCGGTACGAGGCGGGCAAGTATTAGGCCAGCTTCACATGAAGACTTTACGTACAAATTTTATCGAATTATCAACTTCTAGAGTTCATAGTAATTTATATGACTATAGTCACTGTGAGTTCATAGTCATAGAACTCTGATGTAATGGAAATTTCGGTATGACGCATGTGGTGCGTCACTCTAGTAGCTTCACTTTAAGTCTTATGAAACACGTGATGTACTCACTTTTGTATTACGTTCTTCGAACAAATATAATTCGTAGTATTGCCTACAGTACTAAGGTGAATAACGACTCGAAAACAGTGTCTTTAATATTAAATAAAATCGTTGTATTAAATATTTGAATGAGATGGCGCTGAGAATGGCTGCCTCCTATTCGATAAAATCGAGTACGTGGAAAAGTCGAATGGTGAACCTGGCCTTATTTACGAAACACACACGCTTCTAGATGGAGGACGATGTTTTTTAAGTACTCCATCTGCAGCATCGAGTTTCGATTTTACATGGATTACTTTGCTGGATGTTGATGAATATCAGGGAGTATGGGGTTGAAGAGTGCAATGTTCTGTAACAGTAAAATTATAATTCTTAATGGGGGTACAAATTCGTTTGGAATTATTGAAAAAATGGAATATTGTAAGGAAGTTGGACTTCTTTACTAAGCTATATTTTTAGAGGACTTTTGAGGATTTTAGAAAATCCTCTTTTAGCAATTTGGAGGACTTTTGAGAATTTTAGAAAATTGTAAGGAAGTTATACTTCTTTATTGAATTATATTTTTGTATAATTCTATTTTTGGACAGACATTGGAGGACTTTAAAGGAAGGGATAATTGATATATTTCTTTTTTTATATTTTTGATGTTACTTTGATATTGTGTTAAATAAATTTATGTAAACTACGTGAATACTTTATACATTTTGGGGAAGTTTAAATTTGTTCTTATTAGGAAAGAATTATTGTTAAGAGAGGCTGTTTGAGAAATTTTATATTGTATACTGAACTGTTTTAATATTTTTGTGGTTGAGATATTTTTTTGTTAGAAGAAGAATTTTGAGTGGCAATAGTTGCTATTTTTTTAGTACATTTGCTGTAAATTACTGAATATCTATATTTATAAATTTAATAATTAGGAAGTTAGAGAATTTGAGATTTCCGTATTTTTAAAAATGAAAATTTGAAATTTGAGAATGTGGAAATTTAAAAATCTGGAATTGCCAAATTTCTAAATATAAAAATTCGAATATTTGGCAAGTTGGAAATTTGAAGATTTGCAAGTTTAAAATTTGAAAATTCACAAGTTTAAAATTTGAAGATTTGTATCTTCAAAATTTCTGAATATAAAAATGAGAAAATAAAAAAATTTACATCTCAAAAAATTTGAAAATTAGAAAATCTGCAGAGTGCAATTTTGGAAATTTAAAAATCGAAAAATCCCAAAATTTCAAGACCTAAAAATTCATATATTTGGAAATTTGGAAATTGAATACTTTCAAACCTAAAATACTTGAAATCTCTAAATTCCCAAACTTGAATTTAATCCCTCCAAAAGAGATCCCAAACTTAAACGTCCCAAAACTGATCTCTTAATTCAAAAAAATCTCATTAAAATGAGATTCTTCCAATTCCAAAAATTATTCAGCAATGAAATAAAAGAATTAAACCCTGATATTCGCTAACAATCCATGCGACAAACAAAACCATCACAAAACGACTCATGGCGATGCTTGGTATCCTATTTGCTGCTGGAATAATTCCCGAGGCTTTCTAATTAATATTCAACCACTTATGCATTAACATGAAGTAACATTATTCCACGACAGCAAGTTGGATATATTAAGAAAAATCTATGTATTATTCTCTACAAACAAATTGCTTTGTATATTTATTTAACAGAAAGTGTAGAATTAAAAGCATCAAATTTTTTTAATTTCCACGTTTGCATCGAATTTGAATTATTTTGAAGAGACGCTTGGTTAAAAATTGTGCTACGTTTGTGTTGTATCTCTATATTATCTAATAATTAATTTGATGTAATTGCTTGAATGTGTATACCAGAAAATTCTTAGTATTTCGATTAAAAGATTTATTTATCGTATGCTTTCAAAGAATGAACTGAATCTATTTTCTGTAAAACAAAAATTGTTAGATTGTGCAAATCACTCAGTAAATCTTTTTTATTTCACTGTTTGAAAAATAGAATTATAGCTTTTTCATTTTTATTTTTAATTTAGTTGGTGTTAGGTTTTTTTATCAACCTTCAGTTTCATTCGTTTGAATAGCAACGACCCCAGTATAATCTGCAACACGTCAAGGTGAATAATTCCGGTAATAAATATTTAGAATGCCTGCATTATCATATAGAATCGGTAATTAATGTAACAGCACATCATACGCATGATCCGTCATTAATTAACTCAATGTTCATACGTCGCTATTATAATTGTAAATATCCAATCCATTATCTAATATCTTTGATCGAACATCTACAGACATAGAAAGCACTAAGAAATTATACAAGAAAACATGATGATTTATTTACGAGGGGATTAGGGGAACGTGAATTTGAGAAGACCTGGATCATCAACGAAGTTTATTCAAAAATTGCTGATTTCCATCAAAAGTGTTTAACCTTTAACCATTCGTATGTTCTTAGGTTCTACTGATAAATAAACAACTCCGTATTTCAGAAAAGGAACGTACGTCTGATAAGTTGGCAGCTGGGTACAATGCAAATACCATTGCTTCGCGTGCCAACTTACCAGACATTTCAAAATTTGCAATATTTGTAGAATGCACAAATATAGGTTTGTTTATTTTTGTTCTGACAGTTGAAAAAATTAATTATTTATTTGGTGATTTAATTTTGTTTGGTTCGATTAATTGATTGATGAAGTTTGAGAATTTTTCGATTTATGATATTCATTGGCTTCGAACTTGATACATTGATAATTTTATAATTGATATAGATTGAATAGATTTTTTTCTACAAAAAATTATTATTGCTACGTTTTGATATTTTTTTCACTGAATTTGTTTTTTATTATTCTAACAATATCACTGTAATTTTGTAACATAGAAGAAAAGACTATTTTATATTTTTGACAAATTTAATTACATAATGAGTATGTTTTAAAAATAATTTATCAAAAATTGTTCACCATATTTTTTTAGTTATTCAGTTATATTAAATGAATTCATTTATTTCTCTCAAAATTAAAAAAAATTTTTTTGTTCAAAATTAATTGAAAATTACATCTCACTGTTTGATGTACAAGTTGACTCATTTTGGTGTGACCTCGAATACCATTTTTAATTATCAATGTATAAAACATGTTTCATATGTGATTTCAATATGTGGTCAACGTTGATCAACTAACACCATTGAAAGTTAGTATGAAACATTTTCCACATTTTCATAGTTCAAAAAAATATTCATGGTCTATAGAGCTAGTTTAATTACCACTAAATTAGACCATCAAATGTTGACCACATATGAACTATGATAATATGAATTATATATGAACATCCCATAATTAAAAATAGTATTCGAAAAGTCACAAATGAAGCACCTGTACATGCCCACAAACTTCCCTAGGATCGAAAAATTCTCGAACTAGTTAATTCCGGCGTGAAATCACCAGGAAAAAAGTTCGTCGACCAAGTCTTCTAAAATTGACTTCCCCTCCCATCACGAACTTCACCCACGCAAGACTCCACCTAGTCAGTATACCAGTTCCAAACTCACCGCGCCAACATCGACGCCCGTCTGACACGCATCTTCCCGTTATATTGCAGAGTTTTCAACAAAGTGAAAAGCAGAAGCGCGCACATGAAATCGCACAGGCCGGTGCCCTCGCCCGATTCAACGGGTCAGGAATCTAAGAGGCCTGTCCAGCAGCAGTCGAAGGTGCAGCAGTCGCAGCAGTCCAATCAGCGCCAGCAGCAACAGCAGCAACCGCAGCAGCAATCACCGCAGCAACAGCAACAGCCGCAACAACAATCGAGCAGCGTATCACCGCAGGCCCAAGACTACAATCAGCAGCAACTGCCTTCCAGCAATGGCGACACCGGAGCTCAGAAGCCAGCCCACTTATGGCACAACCCGACACGGCTTAGGCCACCATAGGACGACGCCCAGCCGGTCCAACTAAAGTTACCTTAACGAAGGCTGTAAACGGTAGGAAAAAACACGAAGCATTTGTAGACAGGCTTCGGCCTGAAGTCACGAGAAGAAGCTGGTCCACTGAGCCGAGCCTCCTAATTCTTCCACAAAATAGTGAAAAGGGATTAACTGTTGACGGTGCTCCGCCATATCGTCGTGCACGAACTATGGTTTCGTGGACTATGGAGGGTGCACGATGAGCGGTCTCCCTCGCGGAAGAAGGCTTTTCTTTCGGTTTTCATCGAGCACAACGGACCTTCTTCATCGACAATGGCCTAGAGAGAAGAGACTCTTTATCAACGAGCAACCATCCAAACTACCCGGATAGAGTTAAGTTGGAACGCGACTTAGCTGATATATTCGCCACGAACGGTGGCGATATTGAACGATTATCGCGATCATCGATGTACCTAATCGCACGTGAAATGTTCCCAGGATTGTGCCACGCAAGACATTACTGTTACCTGTTGCTTCTTCTGTCGTTTTATCATTGTTCCCTTTTCTTCTATACCTTCTTCGCACTTTATGTACCTTTCTTTCTTCTGGATTTTTTTTATTTCGAGGTACGGTGGCGGGGGGTGGGAGTACATGGTACCTGGCGGAATTTTCTATTTTATATCTGGGAAATTGTTTTGTGATTTTTTTAGTTAGAGGTATAGAGATGTTAAGTTTTTCGATTGGTATATTTGTAAGTTTGGAATTTTTTATTGGTGATTTGTAAAATTCTTAAATGTAAGAAGCTTTCTGATTTTTCTATTTTCTAGTTTCCTATTTTTTCAACTTTTGAATTTTCCAATTTTCTAAATTCCTAATGATTTCATTTTCTAAGTTTCTAATTATCCAGTTTTCCAATTTTTTAATTTTTAAATTTTCTACTTCTGAAATTTTCAGATATAGAAATTTTTAGATTTAAAAACTATAAATTGGAAATTTGCAAAATTTAAAAACAGGAATTCCAAGAATTGGTATTTCCAAATTTTTAGTTAAAAAATTTTCAATTCCCTAAATTCTTGAATTTATAATTCTCTACATTCATTTTGAAGACTTTCACAAGTGTTAATTTTGCAAATTTAGAAATTTAGAAACTTGCTAACTCAGAAGTTCAAAAACAAATTCAAAAAATCTGAAATTCTCAAACTTTCAAATTGAAGCTGTGCCCACGGGCCCGTCCCTCGAGATCTCCCCGCCACAGATCCAAAGGATTTGTTCACGAACCGTGTCGTCCCAGCCACCCAAAGTGATTTTTCGTTCGACTTTCAAACGATTGAATAAAACTAAATTCTTGTTAATTGTTTCGCAAAGGCTACTAAACGACTTGTTGAACGGTTCGTGAGCAGATTCTACTTGTTGCACGTTCGCTCTACTAGTTCTACTTAGTTTAAATCACATTAGCGTACTTGAGATGTCGGAAATAAGCGGATCCTTATCAAAGAAGCGTTCGTAGATTTGTTGAGACTCCCCGATTTTTGTTACCTCTGTTACTTAAAAAAAATATATATATATATTAACTATATTTGTCTGAATAAATTTTAATATATAAATATACACATTATACATATGTATAATAAACAGAATCGATGTAATTTGACGATGATTCAGGTAGATTAGGCGAAGAATATAGTTCTCTCTAGAAAAGAGATGTTGTTCAAGTTTCACTTCGTCGTCCCGTACGTTCGGGATCGGATGTAACATAATGATTATACATACAGCCATGAGTACATTATATACATACGAGAATAACGTGCACCGATACACAGACACGTGGTTAGGAAATGCGTTTATTATTAATGAAGAGATGAATATTGTTCGACTAAACGGGATCGTTCGATCGCGGCTCTATATGTGTACATAATACGTGTACATTGTCTGTACATAGTCTCTTTAAACGTCAGTGTCTGTATGTACAATTCGAATGGATTTTAAACGCAGAACACGTAGGATAGGTTTTAGGTTGTTTTTAGGAGGGATCTATATAAAGTATATATACTTGGCTTGATTTTCTACCTAACTAAAGGGGACTACGATCACGAAAATTCTTGAGTGCTACTTTTTATCCTCTTGATCGACGATGTTTTCGTATGTTCGGTGCCTTTTATCGTCTTATAGTTTTTATTCTGTAATTTCTTCATATTCAATTATTACTACTTATATCCTGTCAAATTTTTAAGAAGAAGAAATCTTATATTTTTAAAATTTCTTTCCAAAATAACCTTTAATTTTTAACTGTAATTTAATTGTAAATTTTACCTTCTAGATAAATTTTTCTTCCTTAAACCCCTATAGTTACCATGTCTTATCAGAAAGACTCAAATTTCTATAATTTAATGTATTAAAAATTTGTTAAAGATGATATACATCTCCAAAATTATTGAAATTGAAAGAGCAATGTAAATACCTTTCAATTAATTTTGTTTCACACAAAACCTACCGCACAAATTAACCAACAAATTATTTATAATTAAGCGAATCTGACAGATAGTTAACAAACTACATTTAAATTTATTTAACACCGTAAAATTATTTTCAAACTGTAATATCAATCAAAGTAAATAAACATGGTGTGACAGATAATCAAAATGGCGTCAAAAGTTAAGATTAGAAATCAAAATATTGAAATAGATTTAAAGTAAAGTAGATTTAAGTGACAGGATTTGAATAAATGACAGTATGATTTGAAAATGACAGTCATATTTGAATAAATGAAATAAAACAGAATTAAATGAATTTGACAATGTAAAATAGAATATATGGACAAAGTGTTAAACACTGATAGTACAATCAAAAAATTGTTCTGACCGCACGTTTGTTACGTACAAAAACATCGTTCCCGCCAAAAAAAAAAAATGTCCGCGAGCTCCAATCAAATTCGAGATAATCGCTCAAGGATGTTTTCGTCGATCGTGTAGCTGCCCCTGACACTTTACCTTAAAGATCTTGTTATTGTTAACGCTCTTCTTCTTATTAACTTTTACCATTAAAATAAAAGGGAAAAAAAAGATCACGATATACATTTTAACTTTTTAAACTTTTCACGTGTAAACGAAGTAAAAAAAGCGAGAGAGAAATACGTAGGCGAGAGACACAAAAACGGTGCAAGTGGCCGAAGGGAAAAAAAGAGAGAGATGCGTTCGAGAGAATCTGCCAAGTTTTAAGCGACAGCTTTTGAATCTTCCACTTGTTTTTAGACATGCGAGCGACCGACGAAATGTCTTAACAGGAGAAAATGGCGGACGAATGAAGCTTCCGTTTGACGTTCGACATTCGAGGAGATTCGTTGGACTCTAATTAAGCTTACGAGAGTATCGTCTGTCCTTTGTGTGTATGACGAGTGCGTTTTGCGTGTGTGGGAATTGCGTGTCTTGTGTTTTCTTCGACGTTTCCCCATCTACAATCATCCTTCAGAAAAACACGTGTAACGCGCTGTTCACAATCCGGCCACACGCGATTCGTTCATTTGCAGGCAAACAAAAGAATAAAACGTAGAAGCGTGTATGACCAAAAAGAGAAAAAAAAATATGAAACGAATACGATATAAAAACGCACACGAACCACCTGATCGATATTTATCCGTACTTACTCTGCGAACAGATCACACATGTTTCATTTAGAGAAATATATATACATATATTTTTAACGTTGATTAAAAAAGGAAAACAAAATCAGTATTCGGTCGTTGTGAACGTTCCACGGTGTGTTTCCGAGTGTGTACTTATTTTCTGATCGATACTTGTATAGATACTTACTTACTTACTCACTTACGTGGATATATACTTCTTTGTGAACCATATAGAAGAAAGAAATACACAGGATCTTGCGAAAATCTGAGTAATGGCCTCCGGTACGGATGTGGACGTTGCGGGATAAACGGGGCGCGTAATCCTAGAGATCTATGATTAATTCTAATTATATAAGATCGTAGATTCGACACTCTAAAAATAAGTTCATTTAAGAGGCGTGAAATTGTTGTACGAATTCTCGGATCGCGAGGCTCGGCGCATCAGTGGAATGCAACAAAATTAGCAGACATATCATTTAAGACAATACACTTGTTACAGAAACTAAGTTTCTACTAATGTAATTCTTATTGTACGTATTGTAATCTAACTCTTAAATCAGACTTAGAGATTCGAGGGGAAACGGGGTAGTTTATGATATTGAATCAAATCAAATCCAGAGAGTACATTATTATTGGCTTCTTTTGTTAACTGGTGAATTTTTGTCATTTTTATTTGTTTTTTAATTTTTAATAAAGTTATTATTGTTTCAAAAATATTGTAAAGATAATTTGTAAGATTTATGAATTGCAATGGATAGTCTGAAAAAAATGTTCTGAATCGTAATTGATAGAATAAAATTATTTCTCAAATTATATATTGAAATTAATTTCCAAATTACAATTGTTAACTTCAAATTACTAATTTTCGTATAGTAATTAATAACATAAATCTCCTTTTTGAATAACAATTTGTAATATGGGAATATTTACTAATTTTCAAACTATAATGAATTATTGATTTTTAATCTACAATTTTTAATATGATACTTGTAATTGTTAATTTTTAAAATTAAACTTAAAATTAATTTTCATGTAGTAATTAAACATGAATCTATCACAATTAAATATAAAATATCTCGTTTTTAATTTATAACAAAATTGTTTGAAATATGTAATAATTTTTAAATTGAAATCAATAATGAATTATCGATTTTCAAGCTATAATTTGTAGCAACTAATTTTCCAATTGCAATTTATAAGACAAATTAATTATAAAATTATAATTAATATTAATACAATATTACTAAAATTTCACTACATTCTGACGTTTGACTTATGTCATGATCGATAACAAATACATAACACCAATCACCAAAATAGTAATAACTCTTCAATCACAGTCAATATTAGCGTACTTAATCTCTGTTAAACGTACTTAAATAATTTCTAAAAGTCTCTGGATTTGATGTTACGTGGAGGCACGAAAAAAAGACGAAAAATCAAAAATCTGGAGGCTAATTACTCAGAAGCTAGGGAAGGCACGAGAAAAACGAAGCAATGAAAACCGTAACGAAGATATGCATGAATTGTACAAACGAATCCCTCCACGTCACAGAAAAGAATGATATATATATATCTATATGGAGAATATATATATAACAAACGTAAAAAAAATTGATAAATATGTGATGTATTTAAATGGTATGTGGTATATGGTATTATGTATTTGTACATAGGCGGACCCGTGCCATCAACTAGTGAGTTGTACCGATATCGTACTGCCATTAATCGTGTTTAACAGGCAACATCGAGTGAATGGAACGGATTACGTTTACAGAGTACAATATTTTATTTAATTGTTACTTTAAGAACATTTACTTTTAAACAAGACCACTACCGTATTGATTAATTTTCAACGAACATAATTTCCCCGATGAAAATTGTTTCGTTCTACAAAATGGAAGTTAACCTAAGCTCGTTCCAAAGAGTATCATTCGTTTTCACGGTGCATCGTTTATCCTTAGTATTAAAATCTTAAGGGAAACGTGAAGTACAAAAATAGTTATCGATTGTTACGATCCTGCGTGTACAGTATTTTCATTGTTACCGTTCTTTTCTTTTTCTTCCACAATTCATAACGCCATGGACCTCGTTGAGAACCGTTGTCGAACAAAATGGCGAACTAACGTCACACTAGAATCTATATATTATATTGGTACAACTCGGCGAAGAAAG